CTTTTGAAAGAGCAGATTTAGTAGCAGAGATAATGCCTTTAGCATGGCCATGTTCATAACTGGAATTCATATATCCGATCTATTGCTAAAGATGCCTGAAAAACAGTTTCTTCGTGTACCGCTCCAGTAAGTATCTGGCCGACCCTGCTTTATTCAAATTTTACAAGAGCCAGATAAGATCTAAAATAGAGTATTTGTTGCCATATTTTAAGCTGGAGCTGCCTACTCTTCACTTGTTTCCCTTAATAGAGTTCAAAAGCGTCTACATGGACTACTCTGGCAAAATGCTTTTATGGATACAATTTATTTAAGTAAATGCTCTGTTCCTTAATTAAACAGTATTAATTATATTTACCGGCCTGAAAGTTCGATAAATTTCGTAGAAAATATGCGTTCTCCGGCAGGAATCGAACCTACGTCCTATGAGGAACCACAATTGAACCTTTTATGATAGGAACTCGGGGCAGATATGATAGATCGGAAAAAGTGTGCGTGTAATTCGAGCTTTGCTTAATTGGAAGTTTTTTTGTCGCTGAACAGTTTTTAGTACGCCAGACTTAATAGTGGTTCCTCATAGGATGCAGGTTCGATTTCTGTCGGGGAATGTATATTTTCTATGAAACCCCTCGAAGATTTAGGTTTCACTTTTCTTTCCTTGAAAATGACTATATTTTGTCAGAAATACTTGAAACATTACACAGAATTTCAGCAATTTCCTTTACAAAATTACAACTGGCATCAATCGATTTATTTAATACCAAAAAGCATAATAACTATTCCGTATCCGTTCTATTTAATAAAATATGATTTAACGAAGGGATATTTTTTATGTCTATTCATCTCGTCGGGTGGTATCAGTAACTGATTGCTGATTTTCTCATTTTCTTTATTTTTATATTTATTTAAAAATAATTTATGCGCTTGGTGTTAAGATGATTTTTTCTTCATCTTTGTCTCTGTGTGTGTGTGTGCAAGCGCGGGCGTGTACACGTGTACGTATACGTTGTGAAATTTCAGATATAGCTAAAAAATATATCTGTAAAAAAATAATATGAATAAAGGGAAAAATGAAAACTTATCTTAACCGACCTGTTTAGTCCACTGAGGAATCCTTTGATGAATCGACGGTGGGGGGTGGGGGGTCTAAGACTAAATTCAACTCTCAAGGTAGAGGGTTACCCAACTGACCAAGGTGAGCCTTCAATTTAAAGGTCTCCACCAGAGTTTGTATACACAAAACACGCTACGTCGCAGGTATGTCGACTGAACTGATTAGCTACTTTGTTTGTGTTTTTTGTTTTTTTGTTTTTTTTTAAGCGTTTCACCCCAAGCAAGGCGAGAAGCCACTAGGACGCAAGGGGTTACAGAAGATTAGATAGGAGTAATAGAAGAAAGGATGAGGATGAGGGTAGTGGATAGATCAAGGCAACTGGAGATGTCGATTGACATTACATTTGAATAGCTGGACATTATAGCTCTCAGGGAAACTGGAATAGGGAAGGGAGTTCCACAGGCGAGAGGTGCAAGACATGAATCTATTAAAGTAGAAGAGACGGCTACATTTAGGAGTTTCGACAGTGAAGGGGTGAGAGCGGGATGCCAGCCTCGTATGGCGCTTGAACTCATGAAGTCTGGGAACCAACGAATGCAGCTCCTCGGAGCAATTGCCATGAAAGTATTTGTAAAACAGACAGAGAGAGGCGACGGCGCGTCTGTGAGAAAGTGACTGTAGACGAGATGCCAGATCAGGGCCAATTATATTGCATATCCGCCTCTGTAGCCTATCAAGAACCCCGAGGCAAACAGAAAGGGCTCCAGACCATATATGGCAGCAATACTCCATGCAAGGGCGAATTGTTGATTTGTAGATCTGGAGGATCGATTCCGGGGAGAAAAATTTCCTGGCGCGGCAAAGGGAGCCAACTTTCCTTGCGGTGGACGAAGCAATTGAATCAATCAAAGTTCTTCTTCTCACCGAAGCGATCAGGTGCAGCCATAAATTGAACTGAAATGTATTTGTTCCATCTCAGGTCAGCAGTCAACGTGAGACCGAGCAGCCGCAGAGAGTTGCTCTCGAGAAGTTGAGCGTCAGACATTCTAATGGAGGTCAGGGAAGGATCTCTGTGGCGATTAATAGAGAGCAGTTTTGTTTTTGAAGCATTAAAGTTGACCAGCCAATTCCTGCCCCAGTTCACAACCGATTGGAGGTCCTTTTCGAGACGCACGGCCAGGTTATTTTTGTCACTGACACTAGATTTGCGTAGTGGCACTACCACCACACCTTCAAACTCATGATGATGATGATGATGATTGGGATGATGATGAATACATCGAACCTTTTACTTATTCCTTTTGGTATATCTAAACGGTCATTAATCCTGTGCGCTTTGGGAACATCATTACGTGAAATTGATGGACTATTAATAAGCGGTTTCGCCCCGTCTAATAGACACCGAAATCGCCGATGAGGAAACCCAATGTGTAACAGAGAGACACAATGCCTCTTAAATTCAAATTTAGCGTCCAAATTCATATTCTTCATGCAGGTCATTCTTTGATATCTGCTTAGCAGAAAATCCCATGCAATTTCAGACTTCTTTGAGATCGATTTCCAATACGCCCAGTTCATTCGATCTGGCATCTAATATTCAGATCACGGTTACCCGAAAAAGAAAAAAAAGATGAGTCGCTTGTCGACCTCGCCAGCTGCAGAGGTTTGAATCCTCGAAGCCATTCTGCCCCTCAAGTCGAATTTAGATTCAACGGCTGCAATGTGGCATGGAACGACTTGAAATTTCTCTTTGCTGCGATTGGATAATTTCAACCGTCCCCTCCCTTCACACAACGAAAAGTGTTTACGCAGGCGCACACGGCTACAGAAGTGCGCATCTACACACACACACACACACAAAAGAAAATCATCAGATTGGGTCAAATAAAAATGTATTCATCAGAAAGATGGAAACAAAGACATGTCAATTAATTCATCATACCAAAATTGGTTTTAATGATTTCCCTCCAAGCAAGGCAGTAAAGCCACTAAGAAGATTTAATTGTTTTTTACGGCTTATTAACCTTTTTGAGATTATTTAAATCCGAAACGTACTTTTGGCTTATTAGAATTTTTTTTAGAGATAATAATGATTTTCTGATACAAGTTTTACTTAGCTGGGAGAAGGAGAGGTGATTTCATAGAATTTCATATGAGTATTTTCACGAACCCGATTGGAATTGGTAATCATTTCCCGATTTCTTATTCTGAGACTTTATTCATTAACCCCCCCACCACCACCACCACACACACACACACCGTACGGTATTCCCGAATTGTCATTCATCTAGACTCTGACCAGATTCAACGTTATTCAACGTTACGAAGAAGAAGACAAAAGACGATGTCGATACAAAGACGAAGACGACGAAGACAAAGGCGAAGAAGAAGACAATAAAGACGACGACGACGAAGACGAAGAAGAAGAAGACGACAAAGACGAAGACGAAGAGGAAGACAAAGGCGAAGAAGAAGGAGACATCAAAGACGACGACGAAGACGAAGAATACGACAGAGACGAAGAAGAAGAATACGACAAAGACGAAGACGAAGAAAAAGACAAAGGCGAAGAAGTAGAAGACAACAAAGACGAAGAAGAAGTCGTCGACAAAGACGAAGACGAAGAAGAAGACAAAGGCGAAGAAGACAACAAAGACGAAGACGAAGAAGACAAAGGCGAAGAAGAAGAAGACAACAAAGACGACAACGACGATGAGGACAAAGAAGAAGAAGAAGAAGAAGAAGAAGGATACGACAAAGTCGAAGACGAAGAAGACGACGACAAAGACGAAGAAGAAGACGACGACAAAGACGAAGAAGAAGAAGACGACAAAGTCGAAGACGAAGAAGACGACAAAGACGAAGACGAAGAAGAAGACGACGACGACAAAGACTAAGACGAAGAAGACGACGACGACAAAGATGAAGACGAAGAAGAATACGACAAACGACAAAGACGAAGACGAAGAAGACGACGACGACAAAGACAAATGCGAAGAAGAAGAATACAACAAAGACGAAGACGAAGACGAAGACGAAGAAGAAGATACGTCGACAAAGATGAAGACGAAGAAGAATACGACAAAGACGAAGAAGACGACGACGACAAAGACGAAGACGAAGAAGACAACAAAGACGAAGACGAAGACGACGACGACAAAGACGAAGACGAAGGAGAAGAAGACGACAAAGACGAAGAAGACGACGTCGACAAAGATGAAGACGAAGAAGAATACGACAAAGCCGAAGAAGACGACGACGACAAAGACGAAGATGAAGAAGAAGAAGAAGAGGAAGAAGAAGAAGAAGACGACAAAAAGCGAAAAAGAAGAAGAAGAATTTGTTAAGAAATGAGAACAACGCAAGAAGAAGAATCAAGAAAACAGCAGATAATGATTAACATTGCGTTTAATTTTTTGAAGGTCAAAGTTGACTAGAAATACAAGAAACGGATAAAAAATTATTGTTGATTTTATTAAGTGAATTGCAAATGATTCTGCCATCACGTTTAAAACAAATTTAAGGAAATCTTACAAGCGTCCTTAAAATTTACTTTTTCCTTTTTTTTTTTTCCTTTTTTTAGTTAAGCGTCATTTCCAAGACGTAGACAAAAATCCTTAAACCTTAGATTCGACCTGAACCTAGTGAAGCGAACATCGGGAAACATTTAATCACTTGTCTTTCTCGACATGCAGGGCACAACTGAAGGGGATTTTAGAGAAAATAGTCGCTGGGGATGAAAAATGAGTCTATTTATGAATCTGGTAATCTATTAAGTACTTAGGGTGAGCATATGTCATGAAGACATAGCCGATGTGTCTTAGGTAAGATACGCTTCTGTTCCAATTCCTCATCGGGTTGACTTTGAACTTAGAATTGTACTTTTCTTAGACTGGTCACACCAATTCCACTTCCTGCATCAATAACCATTATATTGCTCGCACAGACATTAATTCTTCAGATATGTTATCGTCAGACTATTAGATAGATAGATAGATAGATAGATAGATAGATAGAGAGAGACAGACAGACAGACAGACAGACAGACAGATATGAACCGTATGAGATAGATATGAAGAGACCAAAATAGATAGATAGACAGAAAGAGAGAGAGACAGATAGATATGAAACGTATGAACAGCATGATAGATAGATAGATAGATAGATAAAGACAGATAGATATGAACTGTATGAGATAGACATGAACAGCAAGATAGTTAGATAGATAGATAGATAGATAGATAAACAGAAAGATAGATAGATAGATAGATAGACTGAACGTGAGACAGATAGATAGGTATTAACCATATGAGATAGATATGAACAGCATGATAGATAGATAGATAGATAGATAGATAGATATGAAGAGACCAAAATAGATAGATAGATAGACAAACAGAAAGAAACACAGATAGATAGATAGATAGATAGATATGAACTGTATGAGATAGATATGAATAGATAGATAGATAGATAGATAGATATGAAGAGATCAAAATAGATAGATAGATAGACAAACAGAAATAAACACAGATAGATAGATAGATAGATAGATATGAACTGTATGAGATAGATATGAATAGATAGATAGATATGAAGAGATCAAAATAGATAGATAGATAGATAGATAGATAGATAGACAGACAGACAGACTGAAAGATAGATATGAACCGTATGAGATAGATATGAGCAGCATGATAGATAGATAGATAGATAGATAGATAGATAGATAGATAGATATGAACTGTTTGAGATAGATATGATCAGAGATGGATTCATATCTTTATACAAGGGTATTTACGCGTAAGTGAATGTAACGGACCCGGCTTGAATTCATTCTTGGCACCCTGATTTCTTATTCCAACCTTTTTCCCATCACAGCACCCGCACATCTGAACTTCTAGCTTCTGACTTCTAGATCATTTCACATTCATACAGGGATTCACTCGAGGCCCTATTTTTATTCGCTGTATCCCATTCTTCATTAACGATCTTCCAGGTGCCATGCGTTTCCAACTCGGCGTTTATACTGAGGCAGAATTATTTATTCCTTCCTTAATATTAAGTCCGATAGGCACGGCAAAATAAAGCTAGCAGCTGATCTAAAATAAATGAAAATTTGTTAACTGGGGTAAGATCCATCTCAGCCCCTATTCTGTCATCCACTTGCACATCTTAGCTTTCATCTCTTGCTGAAGTGTGCCTGGATCGCTATTAATACCTTTTTTCCATGTTATACTCAGCGAGATATCCGATATGGAATTTTGATATATAAGCACGAAGACTTATTGGTCTTCTTCTCTTTAGTTAACTAGATTGAATTAACACGACTGAAAAAACACTTTTCCTTCTCCATGGTGAGTCGATTATTTTCAAGGTTCAGCCATATATATGGATGGTTTCGGTTATATCGGTCTTGGAATCATTTCCGCAATGTATTCGATTTTGTTCGCTATTACTGAACGCAGTGGCGATACCATGACTATCCCTTCCTCCTGGAGACAGATTTCAGAACCTAACTGAGAGTGAGAAGTGGGAAATGTTAGCATTTCCTTGTGTGTATGTGTGTGTCTGTGTGCACGTGGAGAGAGGGTACATGTCTCCCAGCGTTTAACTACGTGTTGGCTCGTACTGAAAATTATGATAGCTATTACTAAAGAAAGTGGCGATGCCATGACCATACCTTTCTCCTATATTTCAGTACCTAATTGGAAGTGTGAAGATTTCCAAGAAAATATTTTGTTCGCTATTATTGAACACAGTGACGATACCATGACTATACCTTCGTCTTGAAGACATATTTCAGAGCGTAATTGGAAATAGGATATGTTAGCATTTTCTTGTGCGTATGTGTGTGGAGGTGTGTAAATGTCAGCCAGAATTTAACTATGTGTGTCTGAGTTGGCGCGTATTGAAAATTTTATGGTAGCTATTAATGAAGAGAGTGGTGATGCCATGACCATACCTTTATCCCATATTTGATAACCTAATTGGAAGTGTGACGATTCCCATCAAAATATTAGCATTTCCTTGTGTTCTTGTTTCTATGTGTGAGGGTGTCTGCGAGTGTGTGCATGTCTGTCTGTTTCCAAAAACGTCTGCGCATGCGTACTGAAAAAAATTGAGACTAAAATGCGTTCTCTTTACGTCAATTTTATCAAATAAAAGTAAATTTCTTTCTTCTTTTTGGTCAGCCTGAGGTATAAACAAAAATGAATCTGACTTATAAACAAAGTGCGCTGAATATGTTTCTCTTTTGTTGGTGGTGGGAGGAGGGAAGCGTTGAAACTGGACTTTCAGAATGTCTCTTATTAGTGTGAGGCGCTGCTTATATTTTGATATAAACTCCAGTATCACTTGAGGAGCTTCACAATTCGCTCACCGAGAAAAATTCTTCAAAGTTACAATACTGAAAATGTGAAAAAAAAACAATATTATCGACAGATAGATAGATAATCGACAGATAGATAGATATGAATCGAGAGAAAGAAAGAAACGAAATAGATAGATAGATATGAATCGAGAGAAATAAATAAATAAAAGGAAATAGATAGATAGATAGATAGATAGATAGATAGATAGATAGATAGATATGAATCGAGAGAAAGAATGAAAGGAAAGGAGATAGATAGATATGAATCGTGAGAAAAAAAGAAAGAAAGGAAAGGAAATAGATAGATAGATAGATAGATAGATATGAATCGAGAGAAAGTAAGAAAGGAAAACTAATGGATAGATAGATATGAATCGACTGAAAGAAAATAAATAGTTATTTTTAGTGGATACACGTATTTGAGCAGACGCTCCGTTTATTTATTAAACGCTGTGTTTCTTTTCGTTTACCGGCTTGAAAAACAATATTATTGGCTTAAATATTCGAGAAATCTTATTAGTGAAAAATACGCGTTCTCCGGCAGGATTCGTACATTCATTCCCCTAGGGGAAATCATCAATGGATTTGACAGGCATTCGATCTCACATTTACGGAGTGTGTCAGTGTTTGAATTGTGTCTTTACATACAGATTTTTCCCCGACTCTCAAAATAAACATATCTCCTCAGTTTCGTATCCGGAAGTAAAGAAACAGGGATTTTTTTTAATTTATTGATTTGACAGAATTTTTTTATTATTTAAACATTATTTTAAGTAGATTCGCCTATTTGAGTAAACGTCCTGTTTATTTATTAAGCATTATATTTATTTATTTTCGTTTACCGGACTGAATGTTGGAGAAATTTTATTATAGAAAAATACGGGACTACGACTAGGAATAAATAAATGAAGAAACTGAACAAAATAGATATGAATCAACAGATTGAAAGAAAGAATGAATGAAACTGAAATAGTTTGTTTTAGTTTGGCTATTAAATAAACGATCTAAACTAATCTAAAAAATGTTTTACTACGTGGAAAGTTTGATGATTACCATTTACTTAATGGTGTTGACGGCTCGAATCAATCCATACAATTTTTTTTACTCTACGAATTGGTTAAGCAAAAATGCAAAAACAACAAGAGAAAACAATAAGAAACATTTTTGATAAAAGTCAAACGGCAAATATTTGAATAACAAGTAATTTTCAATATATTTTTGTAATGAAAATATTTTACAAAAATGTAGTGGATTTTTTTAAAGTGAAATCTTGTTAGTTTAATTTATGTTGAAGTCAAGTTTGGTGAAAGATTAAATTTTGTTAATGAGTTCTGATTTGAAAGGATGTTGGTTAGAATCTGTTATTGAAGATTCTGTAAATTATTTGCAAGAGAAAAATTCACATTTAAGAATTTACTAATCATGGAAGTAGTAAATGTTTGTAAAGTTGAATGCAATTTTGTGATCAAAGAAGTTATCTACCTTTGATTGTTTTGTGTAATACAATGTTCTCGAATGTTGAGAAATAAAGTTGATTTGTTAGCAGGAATTTGTCTAACTTCTGTGTAAATATTTTGATGAGTGAATGGGAATAGAGTTCACTGGTGAGTTTTGATGAGTGAGTGTGAATATTAAGTTGTATAATGTTCGTATGAACGAAAAAAACATAAGATAGTGTGACGTGAATTTTAGCTGCAATTCGTTTGATGTCACAACTGAGAGTGAGAATGAATTTCTGTTTTATTTGCTTCGGGTGGCTCACAGAGACTTGGCGCGAACTTGGACTTCAGTCACGAGCTCTAAAACTTAGTTAAGCGAGGGTGGATAGTCACGCCTACTTGTATATTTATTAACCAATGAGGGATCGATATATATATATATATATATATATATATATATATATATATATATATATATATATATATCTCAAGCCCTCATTGGTTAATAAATATACAAGTATATATATATATATATATATATATATATATATATATATTTGTATATTTTGTATGAAAATATATATATATATATATATATATAAATAAAAAAATAAGAGGAGGCACGGTTAGCGGCTTGGATTGAGGAATCGCAGAGCCAAGTTCGAATTCCAGTCGAATCCACTGCATTCACTTACGTGCTAATACCCTTGGGAAAGGTATGTATCCTCTTCATCTCCCTCCAGCAGGACAGACTGGGTTCTATAGCCTTGGATGGCAACTGGTCTAGGAGAAGGACAACTCTGAATTCAAAACCTGCGGAGGGTCGTTTGGGAACCTTGTGGCATGCATTCGGTGCACCAGGTTTCTGTATTCGTCCCTCCAAAAAGTGTGGCTGGTCCTGCACAAGGCCTTCACCACTATAAACAAATCTCATGTGCCGGTGTCGGGATGTCGGTTTCCTGGGGACATCGGCCTGACCCTCATACGTCGAACGCGACGGGAGAGTCGATTATTATATATAATAACACTGAATATTTTCAGAATTCAAGTACTTTGTGTACGTTTAACAAATCTCTTTTCTGCAAGATTTCAGAAATTTCGGAGAGATTGGAGGTTCTGAAGAGCGTCGGACCACATCTTAATAGCTGTTGTTCCTAGTTCTGCCCTGACATACGGTGATAGCTCCTGTTAATATCACAATTATCAGAAGGCGTAGTATATTGCTGTTGGGTGTAGTATAAGGCGACAAACACTTATATATAAAAATATTTTAAGACGTGTTCTTATGTTTATACGTTCTTTTTATAGATACAAATATTTAAGTAAAGGCTCTGTTTATAATAAACAGTATTAACGACATTTACCGGCCTGAAATGTCTGAGAAATTTTCATAGAAAATACGCGTCCTCCGACAGGAATCGAACCTATATCCTATACGGAAACGTAATATAGTCTGACGTGCTTTACCGACTTAGCCACAGAGGAAAGTTTCGGTTAGCAATGTCGATTTTACTGTTTTTAAACTACAATTCTCCATGATTTTCATTCATATCTGCTCGAGGCCTAACCAAATGTAAACAAATGACGTCACACATTATGAAATTGACAAAGTCCGACAATTATTTTAAGACATTTTTTTTATATTTATACGTTCTTTTTATGTTGTTAATACTGTTTATTATAAACAGAGCAGTTACTTAAATATTTGTCTATTGTTCGAGTTGCGGCGAATAGGTAGAAATCTTAGAAATGAAACGCTAAACAAGAAACATATTGTTCAATTACTTGGTTTACATAAAAATTATTCTCAGTAACATTAATAAGGATGTCCTGATCTACTAAGTTGCATTTACTTTCGCAATACAACCCTTAAGAAAGAGATGGACCCATCTCTTGATGTGCTATGGGTTAAATAGTAGAATAGACTGGGCCTTGATGGGCCGCCATTATAGGATGACGACTATTTTGAATTCTAAATTGTAGATAAGGAAGAAAAGAAAGTTGTGGAGATTCAGAATCACCAACGTGTCAAATGAACATAGTATTTAAATATATATATATATATATATATATATATATATATATATATATATATATATTTAATAAAATCTCAGCTGGAATTCATATGATATATAAGTATTTAATAATAAATATAATGGAAATAATACTGGAAATAATACTGTCAAGCACAAAGAAAATTATATATATATATATATATATATATATATATATATATATATATATATATATATTTATAATTATTTATATTTTTAAATAGACACTTATATTTAGGCCCTAATTTTGTATCGAGCAAAAAATAATAACAAAAATGCTAAAGAACTTTTGGATTATTTACCTAACGAGTTCTTTCGTATTTTATATATATATTTTACACGCATATATATATATATATATATATATATATATATATATATATATATATATATATATATATATATATATATACACCTAGTGAGCCAGACAAACCTACCTAGGTTTCTCAACAAACAGACGATCCGTTTAGGTGAAACCTGGGTAGGTTTGTCTAGCTCACTAGGTGTATTCAGGTCTGCTCTACCGTTGTATTGAGCGCTTTTGTTAGTTGTTTACTCGTATCGGGGTTTTTTTTTTGGGCTTCAGATCTGCATCTGTGAGATTTTTTTTTGTCGGCAGAAGTTCATGTTTGTAGCTCTTTCTTTTTTTAAAACCTTTTTTTCCTCGAGATTGATTTGATTATTAGCAAATAAAAAAAATCGAGGGTTTTTCGAAACGAGTCTAGTTATCTATATTTGTATATATATATATATATATATATATATATATATATATATACAGAGATAGAAAGAGAAAGAGAGAGAAAGATATAAAGAATTGCAGAAAAAGAGAAAGGGAAAGAAAGAGAAAAAAGGGGATTAAAATCTGTTAGGATTTAAATTATAGAATTAACTTTAGGGTCTGTCAGGAAACAAAGAGAGAGCAGGAGAAACAGAGAGGTGTAGAGAGAGGAAGGGGAAGCTAAGAGGCAGAGAGAGAGAGAGAGGTAGAGGAAAGTGAGAGGAGGAGAGATATAAGAAAGATACAGAAAGATGGAGAGGGGTTAGAGAAGAAAGAGAGGGGGAAGAGAAAGAAAGAGAGTATGAATAGAAAGAGAGAGAACGGGGGAGGGAGAGAGAAAGATAGATAGTAGGTACAGAGAGAGAGAGGGAAGAGAAAGAGAGATACATAGTGAGGAGGGAAAGAAAAACAGAGAGAGAAGAAAGAAAAATGCAGAAGAGAGAAAGAGAGAAAGAGGTCTGAGAGAAAAAGATAGAGAGAAGTAAGAGAAAGAGAGAGGGGAGAAAGAAAGATAGAGAAGAGGGAGACAAAGAAAGAGAGAGTTGGAAAAAGAAAGAAAGAAAGAAAGAAAGAAAGAAAGAAAGAAAGAACGAAAGAAAGAAAGAGAGGTTGGGGAGAAAGAGAGAGAAAGAGTAAAGATAGAGAAAGATAGTGAGAAGGTAGGGAAAGAGAAAGAGAAGAGAGATAAACATATAGAAAATGAGATAAAAAAAGAGAGAGAATGAGCGGGAAGAGGGAGGGGTGAAAGAGATAGAGATAGATAGAAAGAGATCAGGGAGAGCAAGAGGGAAAGAGAGAGAGAGAGAGAGAGAGAGTAAATGATCAACACTGTCTTTTCATGCCGCTTTGGTAGCTGCAAAAGCAGTATTAATATCTCTAATCATGTCTTCATCAAATGACATTTAGGACAATCTTGAAGACCGCAGCTCGTCAGCCATAACTCCTTTTCACGAGGCATTGCTGATCCGTCGCAATGATGACTGAGGCAAATGTCGTCGTTATCTGATCTTGAAAGCTCTTAATATATTTCAACTTTCACATAGAATCATTTAAAGTTTACCCAGATAATCCAATGACCTCCAGGAAAACGATAACAATCACATTATTACATACATTTAATTAAAGTTTCTCGGTAACTTAGCTGTGAGCCATGGTGCGCTGAAATAATTTTGGCCCGACTCACGTCTCAGAATCTGACCAACTTACGAAGCATCAGTATTTCTTGTAGATTCCTCTTAAGTTTTCTTTTTAATCATTTCACTTCAAGGAAGGTGATAATGCCACTAAGACGCAAGGGGTTACTGGGAGTAAAAGAGAATGAGAAGACATTAGTGAGGAGAAAGGACAATAAAAGAACAGGGTTCAGGAAGAAGATGGCGATAATGCCACTAAGATGATACTAGTGGGGAAAGAGAATGAGAAATCTTTAGTGAGGAGAAAGGAAAATAAAAGGAGAGGTTTCAGGAAGAGAGAAGATGGCGATAATGCCACTAAGACGCAAGGGGTTACTGAGGGTGAAAGAGAATAAGAAGAATTTCGGGAGCAGAAAGAAAGAACGGATTTCATGAAGACATCGATTGACGGTGCCTTTCCATTTTTGGAAGATCACAGAGAAGCAAAGACCGGATGAAACTTAACATATATATATCAAAAGTAAATAGCCCCTTTCCCCACGAATTTGGAAACAAAGGACATAAGCAATCTAGATTTTTGAAGAACGTTGTTTATTTTATAAATACATCCATTAAAACATAGTCAGGTCTCCGTTAGCCACCTTGAGCGCCTCCATTTAGACACGCATGGGAATGATAAATCCAGTAATCTTCGATAAGGGAATGTCTGCACAAGTTGAATACAGAAAATGTTTATATTTCTGAGGTAAGGTATTGTAACTATTTACACTATTTGCAATGTATCCTCAAAATTCAAACAAAAATCACCTGAAGAAGACCGGAGCGCACCAGAGCCAAAACGTTGTGAATGTAACAATAAAGATGACGACAACAGTCCGAAAAATGCAAATACTGTAAATTGAATTCAGAAGTTGAACCAATTCGCTATTGAAAAAAAATTCCAACCATTTCTTTTGCTGTGGTCTGTATAATAAAAGGCATATTAAATAGGGTTCATGATTGGAGACTAACTTATCTATGCTAGAACTCGAATCTATATTGCTCTAGCCACACATGGGTTAAATTTGTAGCATGGTATGGAGGACTTTTTTTTTAATGAATTATTTAACCACAACCAAGGTAATAAAGCCACTGAGATGCAATGAGCTAGTGAAAATGAAATAAACTTACAAAACGTTACTGAGAAGAAATGGCAATAAAAAGAATAGGATTCAAGGAGACGACAATTAATGTTTATTTAAACTTTTGGAGATCGTAGTTGACTGATAAGCAAGAGACCGGCAGAGAATTCCACAAGTGCGAGAAACTATTAGAATAGAACAAGTTCAAAAATGTTGAGACCTATTTGCCAATCTAGTACTGCGCTTAAACTAATTGATAGATGTTTTAAACAAGATATTTTTATACATTTGAGACGTATTTTGTGCAGTTCGTCTTGATCGTTCTGTTATTCTTTTTCTTCTTTTCATTTTCCTTCATTCACTTGCAAATCTGCCGCTTGTCATTCGCCAAATGATATCTAATATTTTTGACCCTGTCGCCTGTGGCTATCTGCTATTTAAAACAAAGACGCAATTCTTTAAGCAGAGATCTTTTTTTTTTAATGTACTCTTTTCATGTATTACTATATTATTTTCATTCGATCTTTTAGTTTATTGAACTTTATGTCGCTGATTGGTTTTCTGTTCGCAAATGACGATTCCTGTTTTTAACTTGTAAGGATTCTTTTTCTTTTTTTTCTTTCGTTTCTTCTTCCTATGATTCACTGCCATTTTTCCCACTGCAGATCATGTTTCCGATTCCAATAGAAAAAAAACAACGACCATTTACACCTTCATTAGAAATCTTTTCCTGCTGTTTTGCCCGCGGTAATTATTGTCCCATGACCAAATACAATTGGAAATAATGAATATTCCCTCACTCTCTCTCTCTCTCTCTCTCTCTCTGTGTGTGTGTGTTTCGTATCCCTTTAGGATATAGACGATCACGGCGAGAACTTCCTAATATGTGATGCTCTAAATAAATCCGACGCTTCAACTTACCTTTTTGGCTTACGTCCAAATCATATTGAAACATGTCGAGCCTGGTCTATCTCTTTCACTCTGTTCATATCTATCTATTTCAGTCTGTTTCTATCTATCTATCTATCTATCTATCTATCTATCTATCTATCTATCTATCTAGGCCTTTTCATTGATCTATCTATATATTTTACTCTGTTCATATCTATCTATCTATCTATCTATCTATCTATCTATCTATCTATCTAGGCCTTTTCATTGATCTATCTATATATTTTACTCTGTTCATATCTATCTATCTATCTATCTATCTTGATCTATCTATATATTTTACTATCTATCTATCTATCTATCTATCTAGGCCTTTTCATTGATCTATCTATATATTTTCTGTTCTGTTCATATCCATCTATCTATCTATCTATCTATCTATCTATCTATCTATCTATCTTGATCTATCTATATATTTTCCTTTTCATTGATCTGTCTATCTATCTATTTTTTCATTGATCTATTTAAATTTTATCTATCTATCTATCTATCTATCTATCTCTATTAGGCCTCTTTCTTGATCTACTCTGTTCATATCTATCTATCTATCTATCTATCTATCTATCTATCTATCTCTATTAGTCTGTTCTTATCTACTCTGTTCATATCTTTTCATTCTATCTATCTCTATCTATTTTAGTCTGTTTAAATCTATCTATCTATCTATCTATCTATCTATCTATCTATCTATCTTCGTCTTTTTCTTGCCTATCTATCTCTTTCGATCTGTTCTTATCTAGCTATCTATTTTACTTCGTTTCTATCTATCTATCTATCTATCTATCTATCTATCTATCTATCACTCTCTTTCTCTTTTTTTCTTTTTCTCTGTTTTATCTCCCCTACTCTGTCTATGGAGAGAGAGAGAGAGAGAGAGAGAAAGAGAGAGAGAGAGAGAAAAAGAATCGAAAAAGGGGAGGCCTACGATAATGTGAGGTCGCGAAAGCATCTCTCTCTCTCTCTCTCTTTCAGACCAATATTCGCCGAGGTCGCATGTTCGATCTTCACCGGGTGTTGCACGAGTGTTGTTTTGTCACCACAATAAAATAAATTTTATCAATTACTTTGTCGTCTCCTGATACTCACAGACCAATTAACTCCAAAGTTAAGCAACGTCCAACCTGGCCAATACCTAGATGGGTGCCCGCTTGAGAATACCAAGTGCTGTCACCTTCAACGTGAAGATGGTGTAATGGGCTTACGGCCATATCACGTTGATCGCCAGATCTCGACTGATCACAAAGTTAAGCATCGTTAAATCTAGTCAGTATCTAGATGGGTAACCGCTTGGGAATATCAAGCTCGGATCTGCGCGTGGTGTAATGGATACTGGCTCGGAATTATAAATAGGCGAGCCGAGTTCGAATTCCAGTTGGGTTCGTTATATTCACTTACGCGAAAATACTCTAGGGATAAGTAAGAATCAACACTTCTCCCCCAACCATGGGTTAATTAGTAAGAGTGTGAGTGTGGAATTCTCCAGGCTTTCTTCATTATATTCAACTTTTTCATATTTAAGAAAGAAGCCTTTCAATTTCGGTTTTCCTAAAACTTCAATCTATGTCATGCTCAAAATCCATATGCTGTAGCCGTAAGTTCTATGCTGACAGTTTCTTCTTTCGCACTTCTCGCTTGTGGAATTCTCTGCCGGTTTCTTGCTTATCAGTCAACTACGATCTCCAAAATTTTAAATAAGCATCAATTGTCGTCTCCTTGAATCCTGTTCTTTTTATTGCCATTTCTTCTCAGTAACGTTTTGTAAGTTTATTTCATTTTCACTAGCTTATTGCATCTCAGTGGCTTTATTACCTTGGTTGTGGTTAAATAATTAATAAAAAAATGTTCTCCATACCATGCTACAAATTTAACCCATGTGTGGATAGAGCAATATAGATTCGGGTTCTAGCATAGGTAGGTTAGTCTCCAATCATGAACCATATTTAATATACCTGAGTTTTATTATACAGACCACAGCAAAAGAAACTTGTTTTCAATAGCGAATTGGTTAAACTTCTGAATTCAATTTACACTATTTTAATTGTTCTTGCATTGTAACTATAACAACAAAAACATTTCGATTTCATTTTTGCCTTGAAAAAGTCGAAAAACGAAACGCGTCGGCAAAATCTAAGATTTTTTTCCAATTGTCATTTATACCAATCTGTCTTGTCCACAGAATTGATCTGGGAATTTAAATATATATATATATATATATATATATATATATATATATATATATTTATTTGGAAATAAAGCGAAATATTTTTGCAGTTTTGAGCAGTGACCAGTTATTTTTATTTTATTTTATTAATTTTTTTTTTATTATTATGCATCGAGAGGGGGTGATTAAATTAAATATGATGAAAACTGAGCAGGGACATAAGTTTTGGCAAACAAATGAAATAAATTGTGTTTTACGCTTTTTTAACTCATACAGAAAACGTGAACAACTGGAAATATGAACACAGATACACACACGTATATATATATATATGTGTGTGTGTGTGTGTGTGTGTGTGTGCAATATAAAATATAGTTTTAATGTATGCTATATTTTTGGGTTAACGTGCTCAATATCAGGGATAGAGCCTATGTAAATACAAAAGTGGACATTAAAGTCGACACCTATAGGCGACAGTATTTTTTCTGCTTATACCCAGTCCTCAGGCCATCGATACTATTTAAGCTTGAAACTGTCGCCTATAGTATAAACTGAGCGTTATGTAATTTAAA